AAGGAACTTTCATATTCGTCTCTGCTTTAATAAGAGACGATAAATCACTGCAAAGCTAATTTGATCCACACATGGTGAGTTGATTATGCTTAGGATTTCAAAGATGACTGTGTTTTAAATGGGCTTTGTTTAAAAAGACAAATGAATAATATGGCTCTGTGCAAGATGAACATCTGTTACATCATATTGTCTGAGGACTGTATCCAACCCACAAGTCTTTAGGAAAACTTCTCTAAATGAATCTCCATCAGTGTTTTGAAGTCATGCCAAGTCAAACAGCACTTTGCAGAACTATGTTTTGCAGGGCAGCATATAAAGTCTTTGGTGCATGATTACTGCTTTGAACGATTGTAGTGAGAGATTTCAAATTTTTTTCTGCAAAATAACTAATTCGGACTGGATGAAGAGAGTTTGTCTGCCACAGATCATTTGTTTTCATCTGAACTTTTAACTGGGCCATTCTAACATATGAATGTGTGTTGATTGAAGTAATACACATTTAGCTGTACTTGTATGTTTAGGATGGATATCCTGAAGGTCGAGGTAATGCTAGTTGGGAAATTGTGGTTAGGGCAATGTGGAAAGTCCTTATTTTTTGTGATTGTACTGAATAGATTCATTTCTTTTTCCACTTCTACATTCTTTAGGTTTTTTTGGTACAAAAGGAATAGTTATCTTGTCATCAGACCTTAACTAACTCTCATATTGATGCTCTCCTGTCAGAGTCTGTCATGTTTAAATTTTATAACTCAGCCCTACTGTAGACTTCTTCACAAAAATTGTCCCTGGCTTCACTGCCGCGTTCCTTGGCCTCATTAGAGCTTTGTTCAGTAATGTTCTCTAACAAACTCTAGTTGCCCTAAGAGAGCCGCTTGGTTTATACTGAGCGTGTGGCTTCTGAAGCATGTTTGTTGCGAGGTATTCTACCAAGGGGGATCAGATTAAAGGGAGCTGCTCCAAATGCATGCAACAAGGGCTGGGCAATTCACAACTGTACCTTCAACAAAACACAATTTTCAAGTTGCAGAGGCACTCAATTTTGGTCACATTACAATTAACTAGAGCAAGACATTAATTTTCTCACTTAGCCCTTTAGTGATATGCTAAAAGTGAGTTTGTCACCACACAGACGAGATAAAAGAGTGGAAGCTAGTGCGCAAATCCAGGCATGCAAATAGAAGTAAGACATTTTTTCACACTGAGTTACAACAATGGACTTTGGACAAAAGCTGAAACCCTGAAATGAAATATCTACATAAATATATATTCATTATGTGCAAAAGAAAATGTAAATAAAATTGCAATGTTAATTGAAAGTAATTGATTTGTTTTGGGGGGGTCAGTTAGCCTTACATGCCACACTTCAGATTTTAATTGGTAAAAAGTTTTTGGAAAAAACATCTAGAACTTTTCTACCATTTTACAAGAGTGCTCCACAATGAGTGAGTCGATCACATACAAACCCAAACAATGCAATTTAAGATTGGGGCTTTGTCTTTGTGCTTTCTATTGCCCTGTAATTTATACAACAATTTACTTAAATTTATATGTTTAAATACCCAAATAAAGATGATAATTGGTTTTAAAGATATAGGAAAACTAAAGTAAAGCCCCTTTAAGTTGTACTGATAACATATCTGCATGTACACAATCTAAGGGGTATTTGTTGCACTTATTGTTCATATACTTTTAAGTTTGGGCCTCTATGATCACACCACAGTCATAAATATGGAAAAAAAAAAACGATTGTGTATGCAGAAAGTAGATTAATCTGTTTGTGTATTAACAGAGCTTTCAGTCATAAACATATCATCCTTTAAATAATCTGGTTATAAGATTTTATTGGATCCATGCAACATCATGAAATATTTAAAGCATTGATTTTAACTAGATGTCAGGAACATAAATAAGGGTCCAGCTGGGATATTTTCCTTCAAAATATTAAATTACTTAGCAAGTTTTGGATTTTTGAGCAGGACATTCCCTAAAGTACTTTCTAAACACTAAATTGACATTAATTTGTTTCTGTTGTTGCACAGAACCATTGCAGTCTGATCTATATTCATAGCAGTGACAATATTCATTTTTTGTTAATAAATTCTGCTCTGTACCCCCTGAATGAAATAATATTGTTGATCTGTTTTTAAAAAGTATGCTTCATAACATCCACACCAAATCCCACCTCATTAAAATCTCATCTCCTGATACTGATTGCATCTCTACAAACATTTAATTTACTCCCTTCTTATTTACAATAAACTTTAAATGTATAAATCCTAACAGCAAACACTTGACAAACAAGTGTATATAGTCCATTCATTGACTGAAAGTGATGCACAAATGTCAACTTTATCCTGAACAGCATTGCCAGACAGATCTTTTATATCGCTCTGCGTCATGTACTGTGAATCAACATAACCTGCTCATTTAGGTTGTTAATTTCCCAAGGCTGTCAGTAGATATGAGCAGTGATAATTGAGGCTTATTATTACTGCAGATCAAGGCCATTTACCTCAGTAGCTGCAATGCAGAGACAGTATTTTAGATTGTTTTACTTAATAATAACCTCCGTTTCTCTGCCTCATCCCCTTATCTGGATACTGACTGGCTTCATTGATCCAAGAAGCAATGCAGGGCTGTTTTGGAGAAATACATCTTTAAAAGTGCCATGTGCATTCATATAAAAAAGGCCCGAATTTTTTTTTTTATTTTTTTTTTTGTTTTAAAAAATTCAAAAATAAAAACGTTATGGTTACATAAAAAATTTTATAGTTCAAATATAATTTTGAAACTGCACAAAAAAAACCTTTAAACCCAAAGAAATCTTCCTTCCTAACATCCTTCTTTCAAAGATGCTTCCTGTGAGCTTTAAAGAGCGAGGATAGAAAGCCCTGCTTCCAGACTGCCACTCCAGCCCTGCTTTTCATCTATAGCTCCTTCAGGTGGAAAACAGAGAGCCAGAAAGGATACAGAATCTGCGTTGGCAGCCGAGTGGGTGGGATCCACGGTTTGGTTTCTGCATTATCACGTGTGGAAATTCATCACATGGCGAGAGGGAAGGGTGAGTAGGCGGGAAAGTGACAAAAAAAGAGGGTGATGGAGAAAATAATGCTGCAAAGCTAAATCAAAATTAGAAACCCGGCGAAAAAGTCAGAAAATATGCAGCGTTATGACACAAGTCAGACATCATCAGCATCCCCCTCTTCTGACCGACCCAGTAAGGATGCTTTGGACAACATGTAGAGTTGCTTAATACTAAAATTCTTCCTCCCGACACAAAACGCTGAGTTAGGAAGGATGCTTAACGAAAAGTGCCATGCAGCAGAATTTACTGACTCTACTGGAGCAGTTTGAACTTAAGTGTTCTGTTCTCTAAAAGAAACTGACAGATTGAAAAGGTTTTTCCCGGCGTCTTTTAAAAAAAGAGACATGTTTTCCTGTTTCAGCTCCTCCATAACTATTATTTCCCCATTTTTATCATTGTCATCTAACCCTTCATCAGGATCTGTATTATTTCACTTAATTAGAAGTAAAAAATATATGTAAAGTTCTTTGTTTATAAATAAAATTAACTAAAAACAGAAATGTGAACAGCATATTATTCCCAATAACTCTCGAGCGTAAACCTTGACAAAAACTTAAATAACTTCTGAGCTAGCATAGAGGACAAATAAAAGCAGCAAGGGTCTACAAACAGACTGCAGGCACACTGTGTGTTAATTGCATCTCAATTGCTATTCACTGAACCAGCAATGGATCCTACTGAGATTTTGCCCCCAAAATAATGAGGAAACCTCATTCCTACTCAGCAGGAAGACTTTAAAGTCATCTTATTCAAAACACTGATAATTTAGCTTTAAAGAATGTGTGGCGTATGGAGCTTTAACTATAATGGAAACAGACAGTACGCTTAAACCAGATTTTTTTGTGTTGTTATATCATGATAATAACAAGGAGGTTTTATGTTAGCCAGACATTTTGTACACTTAGTGTTCAGGACCATTGGGATATGTTATTTTTGTTTGCCATACTGCTAAAGTTGATGTCCATTGAAAAGAAACAAAAACAATACAAAAAGAATCTAAAATTAGTAAAATATGTCTTAAAATAAGTGTATTTACCCTTAATTTGAGTAGATAAATAAGATGATCTGCCAATGGAATGAGTATTTTTAGACTTATAAGATAATTAGATATAATGCATTTGAAATGGTAAATGGGCTGTACTAATAAATTGCTTTTTCAAGTCAGGAAGCTTGACCAAAGTGCTTTACAGTCATTCATCCATTCACACATTCACACACTGGTGGTGGAGAACTATATCATAGCCACACTGCAAAAACCATCTAGAAATAAGTACAAAATTTCTTAAAATAAGTGTATTTACCCTTAATTTTAAAGGTAAATAAGATGGTTTGCCAATGAAATGAGCATTTCTACTCCTAAAATAAGATAATTAGATAATATTCACTTGAAATAAGACAAAGCAATTGTTTTTCTCTTATTTTAAATGTAAATTTTCTTGTTCCATTGGCAAGGTGTCTCACCTATCTCCTCAATTCAAGAAAAAATTTACTTAATTTAAGCAAAAATGACTCATATAGATTTTAAGTTTTTGCAGTGCACAGCTGTCCTGGGGCTCACTGACAGAAGCGAGGCTGCCGTACACTGGCGCCACCCCTCTGACCACCACCAGTAGGCAATGCGGATGAAGCGTCGTGCCCAAGGACATAATGACACTGAGAGCTGGAGCTTGAACCGACAACCCTCCGGTTGCAGGGCAAACTCCTGCATCCGATGCCACTTTTGCCCCGGGAAATAAGAGACTGCAGATGTTTTTCCTTATTCTAATTGTAAATTTTCTTATTCCATAACCAAAGTGTCACACTTACCTGCTCAATTCAAGAAAAAAATGCACTAATTTTACTTATTCTGTGTCAGATTGTATCTCTCATTATATCTTAAAAAAAAAGAAAAAAGGAGGAAAATAATGCCTCTTACCATCTGCAGAGGTCTCTTTCTCAGGTCCCGCTCAGTGACCAGTCTCTCCTGGTCTGTGACGTAGAGACCACGCTGCGCCAGCGCTTGGATGACAGCATCGTGACCCAGAAGCGGTTTGGCAGCATCACTCTTCAGGATGAGGCTGCCAGCCCTGCAGTACAGGTCAGCAGACAGCAGGAGGCTGGCCACAGGGGGCTTCAGGTGCTCCTGCTCATACTGGTCAGTGTAGAAGGGGTCCTTTAGTTCTGCAGGGACGCTGTCTGTTTAAAAGCAGGAAAGAAATAGAATGGAGTAAATTGAAATGGAGTTCTTAATTGCTAAAAAGCTTTACCATGACAGATGTTAAATGTATGGGACGAGCAGCAGGCTGTGAATTTTTAAATAATTGATTATTCATAGGTTCTCATTCTCATTAAAATCTAGCAAACTGTGTAATTTGGAGCAAAAATTTGAAAAAGAGGTGACAAAGAGAAATAATTGACCTTTAGTCTTCACAACCTCAAGACAAGCAAAAGAGAAAGTTAGGAAATTCAGATAAATAAATAAATAAAACAATTAGGAGCTAAATTAGACAATTTAAAATCTTTCTTCTTTCTGAAAGAGCTACTCTTGTCCTATGCGTGTTTTTATTATCTCTTGACATGAATGCGTGTGGATAGACCTTAGTGTTGCTATAGAAACTGCAGGAGAAGAGGAACCCAATCGATTCATCTCATCTTTATCTGGGAGGCTTTCAGCTCTCTGGGAACACCCTCCTCACTGCCTGCCTCTTCAAAGGGACATGCTGCACATGAGTTTGTTCATCACCTGCTGGAAGGTATTTACCAGAGTCGGCAAGCATTTTACTAAATATGCACTTTCATTTTATTTATCTCAGCTAGACTGGCACTAATTCTTATAGTTATATATATATATATATATTTATTTATATATATGTAGAATACAATTTGATTACAATTTTTCTTTTTTTTCCGATTAGAGTTAAAAAATGCACTTGGGATGATTTGGGAGTAAGTTAACACCAGGAAAGCAGCCTGAATTTTACAGAAAAGCAGCATGCATGAGGCTACAATAACAGGATAGTGTGCTATCTAGTGCACCTTTCCATCCACCACTACATGTATCCGATGAACAGAGACAAAAAGCTGTCAATCATCATGGTGGATAATCGGAAACAAGGTCATTTAAAGATGAACTCAGCATGATTATAATGAAGGGAAGCATACAGCAGAGCTTATCCAAATACCACTGATTTCCTCTGGATGTTTGCACAAATTCTATGAAAATGAACAAATGAAACGCCATCCATCCACCTTCTCCCGCTCAGTCGTTGTCAGGGTCGAAGTGAGGCCGGTGCCTATCTCGGAGAGAAACCACGCATGCATGGGGAGAACATGCAAACTCCATGCAGAATCAAACTCGGAACCTTCTTGCTGCAAGGCAACAGCTCTCAAATGAAAATCAGACATTGCTTTTTAACCATGGTTTACTAGAATGAATAAAAAAAAGGGCCTGAACAAAGATGATTGTACCCCTAGAAAAATAATGTGACCAAATGGACATTTTGTGTTCATTAATTACCATCACAAGGGTCAAAAATGTAGTAATCAGTCAGTGAGCCTATATATAGGGCTACATGGAGTCACTGTGCTGTTTGGTGAAATTGTGTGTACCACACTCAACATGGACCAGATGTAGTGAAAGAAAGAGTTGTCTCATGATATTAGGAATAGATTTAGAGACAAGCATATTAAAAGTAAAGGCTATAGGACCATCTCCAAGCAGCTTGATGTTCCTGTGACTAGAGTTGCACATATTTTTCATAAATTGAAGATCAATGGGACTGTTTCCAAACTCCCTGTGTTTGAAAGCAGTAAGAAAAGTGATGACAAATAAAAAAGACCAAAAGTATGGATTGTAACACTATCGCCCAGAAAATTCTAAAGAGATTGACAAACCGAGTAAAAACCGGTTGAAATGACACTGAAAAGACAACATGATTTACATCCAAACAACATCTACAATCGGTTGAAAAGGTGAAAATCTATCATTTTAAGATAATTGAAAACTGCGTTTGCAACGTCTTTTCAACTCTATTATTGGACTAAAGTGGGACAAAATCAGACGGAGCAAACATGGCCCAATTTTCAACAATGTTTTTTGGACTAAATCAAGACTATGATGGACCGACCAGATTTAGCCTAAAAAACAACATCTAAATGACGTCCCTTGTTTGGGGGGGAAAGTCCATTGTTGTTTGCCAACAATTGATGCCAAAGTGGATTTAAAGGGAGATTACCACAGAGGAGACTATCCTATGCACAGATGAGATAAAAATGTTTACTTTTAACCAAGGCACATCAGCTCTATGTTAACAGATTAAAAATTAAGCATATAAAGAAAAGAACACTGTTCCTACTGTGAAACACGGAGAATGATTTACACATTTTACATTTTAGGGTGTGGCGGCCTAGTGGTTAGGGCATAGGGCTTTGAATCCTGAGATTGTGAGTTTGATCCCCCACTCCCACAGGCTGCCACTCTGGGTCCCTGGGCAAGACCCTTAACCTCACACTGTTCCCTGGGCGCCTTACAATGGCAGCCCACTGCTCCCTAAGGGGATGGGTTAAATGCAGAGAAGTAATTTCCCTCTGTGATTATTATAGTATATATAAAAAATAAATAAATAAATAAAAGAAAAACATCGTGTGGTTGGCGCCACCAAAGACTCTGCAAGTCTCTCCCCCTCCTCTCTCATACCCTTTCCTGTCAGCCTACTGTCCATAAAAATGAGCCACTAATGCTGTAAAAACTAAAAAAAAAAAAAAAAGAACAACTCTGATTCATAAACCATTCTCTTGAAGCATGGTTGACAGACTTTCATTTGTTCATTATCATAGAACTTTATTCATTATCCCTTTTGTCAGATTCAAGTTATTTCTGGGACCATTGTGGAGTTTTCCTTTATTAAATAAGGGCTACCAACAATTTTTTCAATTTATGTATTTTAGAGAAAAGGATGAAGTCACAGACACAGGCTCAACAATGAAAGGTTGAAGAACATTAACTTAAAACAACCAAGATTAGGTCAATCAGATTAGGGAAACTACAATAAACAGGTTGGTGTGCAATTAAAAGAAAAATAGAAATGGTTTGAATTATAAAACTGAGCTATAAGCTTAACATATAAAAAAGAAAGAAATGTGCCTAAATTTCTAGTCTTCAATTGTCCTTTGCATGTTTAGAAATGTAAATTTTTACTCAGGAAACTCTCCTTCAGTTGCTATTTATCTCCATTTCCAAGCACCTTTATATTTTAGTATTTATCTATATTATCGATACCCTCAATTCTATTTGAATAAGATCTTGATGAGGAGGTGATCAAACAGAATTTGGTGTTGTATTTCATAAAGTAAATACCTGCACAAAACTTTCAGTAACACGAGGACATAGAGAAAATACTCTTTATCTTTCCAGATTTCAACCCAATTTTCCAGTCAGGTTCTGGTTTGGGCTTTCGAAATCTGCAGACATTTTTAGCTAACTGAAGGTGTGAAACAAATGCATACTTTTCCTATTATCTTTTTTATGCATATACAACACCAGAAAAAACTTAAGAGTTATACTTTTTCCATTCCTCATGGAAACGCTGCTGTTTCTCCTTAAAAACCAGGCAGTCTTGTCTGACTCAGTGAATCTATGCATCACTGTGATTTCAATAAACCACATCATATGAAACTATGCATTAAAAACAGATCACTATAGGATGTGCTACTACTTTCTCTGGCAGATGATCCCCTTTGTGGCTTGTATCTTGCACACACTTCCATATTCTTGATGATCTCATTTATTCCTGCAACGAGTTCAACTGGATGAATGTGAACATTTGGTACAGCGTAGGCAGGGATCTGGATATGAGCCCGCTCACTCTCTTTTATTTCCCTGCCTCCCTCCCGCTCCCTGAGGAAGGCTGTATTTTTGGAATCAACTCATTTCATTCAGTCCTGACTGAAAATACACAGAAGGTCTGCAAGGGATCTCATGTTTACTGGTTTGTTACAAAACAGCAGTGAGGAAGGACAAGCCCAAACAAACCAAGCTGTGCTGAATGCACCAAAGCAGATGGGTTCAACAGACACAACATAAAGTTTTATTATTATCTTATGTCAAAATAACAAACTTTTCCGCTTAGATGACAAGATTTTTGCATGATACATAAAATTTGGACCAGATTGGAAAAAAAAAAAAACAACTTTATTGTAGAAGCTTCTGTACACACAAGCCAAAGAATCTAACACAAATTAAGGTTAATATAGAGAGACCAATTAACCTGTGAGCCATATATTTGGACTGTGAGAGTAAATCAGAGTAGAGAGAACATACAAACTCCATGCAGATATTTGAATCCAGGAAAAGACAAGATGGACAGATGGGTGTGAAATGATGTGAGAAAATAAAGTTGGACCAGGAAAATACTTCCCCTTTCATGTGGTGTCAAATCATATCCTCCAATTTTTAATTAAATAAACCCAGCCATCTACTGTCAAATACACTGACTTACTTGTTTTTTTGCTTTCCCCTTGGTGTCATAGAAACATTTGCTTTGTTTTTACAGAACAAGAGTGAATACTTACATTATGATCCTTCAAAATCTCTAAATTAAAAACAAAACGAAGGATTCTGTACAGTATCATCACAAAAAATGTATGTAATATCATGATCATAACAGATTGCCTGCAGTATTAGGTATGATTTTCTCTATTATGTATTGAGCATTCAAATTCTGCTTGGCAATTAGATGGACTAACTCTGGTCTTAATGCCCCAACAGGTCTTTATGACTCAGATGGTCGATTTTGGGGTGAATGGAGGGGAACTCCTTTTTACGGCACAAAATATGCTACAGAACTGGAGATTTCCTTTAGCTACAGACTGCTGCACCCTAAATGCACCAGATAGCGTTATCACAGATCTTTCCTCCCAGCAGCTGTTAAGACTTTATAACCATCACTGTTCCAAACAACCTCAATAAGTTGTTACATTATTCCTGATTTTGCACAATTTCTATCTTAGTCAGTTAAATAACATGCTGCTGTCATTTTGCAAATCTCTGACATTGCTGTTGTTTTCAAATATCCATCACTGTAAAAAATTACAGTGGTTATTCATTCTCCAGGTGCACAGTTTTTATATTGTTAAAACTTTACAGTACAGTATTTTATTGTTTATCTTTAAACTCTTCACTATTATGTTATTCTTATATATTTTTCTAAGGTCCACATTTGTGTGACCATTTTTTCTATCTTAGTGCTGCTGTAAGATCAGAGTTTCCCCCATTGTGGGACAATAAAGCAATTTCCTATTCTATTTTATAGTATTCTATTTTATTCTATTCTGTTCTAAATATGAAATTGAAATGTTTATCAAAATAACAGACAGACATGGATCATGATAGATCAGCAACACCAGGATCCATATTGCCTAAGAAATAGTGTCTTCTACCAAAAAGTGATGCTTGTCTTTGTAGTTTTTATCTAGATGTAGAGTTTTAGGCTTTTTTTTTATTATTTAAAGACAGTTTTAAACCTGCAATCTATATAAAACAAAAAAAAAAAAAATAGTATCTGGTTTATAAAACTGAGTTATAGTAGAGGAAGTAAAAAATAAAGGAGGCTGCTTTACATCGACATCTTTATCTAGTGTAATATTGTGTTTAGTTCAAATGTAAATGAATATGAAATGTAAATGAAAAATCTGAATTTTATCACGCTGTGATATCTATAATGAAATGTAAGAGAAAAAGCAGTGTTGTTCCTACCTGTACCATATGCCTTTGCCAGCAGCCATCTGAGGCTGCAACAGATCTTGGCTCGGGAAAAGTCATAATGCTCGAAGGACTTTATAGCTGCAGCAACAAAGCTCTTGTTTTCATCCCTGCCGTCCTGAACTTCTCCCATATTCCTTCCTGTGATGCTGAGTGCAGGCAGACCTAGAAAGGGAGCATCCCACCACAGGAACAATAGGCGGCTGGAACCTCCCTGCTGCTTCTTTCACTCATAAAACGCAGGGATTTTGCTACTCCAGAGGTTTTTCATCCATTCTGCTCTCTGCAGCTCAAATGGACTCCGGTTCAAATGACAGCCGGGTTTTCGAGGATTTTCAGGGAAAACGGCTCTTCTTTGAATGAAGTGAGAAAAGCAACGTCTCCTTTATTTTGTTCATGAAGCAGACGACTTCTCTCTTTCATTAACTATAAAACATCATAAATTTACCATTCAGTCTACCTTCTGTTCTGCTGCTGTCCTGCCGCACCGCTGAGCTTCTCCAGTCCCGCACCTTTGTTGGGTAGTTCGCATGCGCGTATGGTGCCTTCCGGTGCTGTCGGATACGGCAGCTTCGTGCGTTTCTTCACAGTATTACAGGGTATATTGCATCTAATTGCATCTGCTATGGTGAAATGGTTCCAGAAGCTTGTTAATAATTTATCAATATATTGTTTTCCTTCAAGCCAACAACCATGTAATTCTAATTTATGGCGTGTTGCTGGCATCAAAACAGTCACTACTGTGTATGTTCATTAGGCCTGGCGTCTTTAGTGTTTTTTAGTGTTGGCTAGATGGAGCAAGGACCCCCTAATAATATATATATTTTATCAAACTGGTCCTATTGTCGGGGCTTCTCAGTGGGTAGCACTGCTGCCTTGCAGCAGGAAGGTTGTGGGTTTGATTCCCGGGGTCTTTCTGCATGGAGTTTGCATGTTCTCCCTGAGCATGCGTGGGTTTTCTCTGGGTACTCTGGCTTTCTCTCGCAGTCCAAAAACATGACAGTTAGGTTAATTGGCTTCTCTAAATTCTCCTTAGATGTGAGAGTGTATGTGAATGGTTGTTGGTCCTGTTTGTCTCTGTGTTGCCCTGCGATGCACTGGTGCCTGTTGACAGCTGGAGGCAGGCACCAACACCCCTTCACAACCCCATTTGGGATTAAGCGTGTCAGAAAATGGATGGATGTTCCTATAGTCACTCTATTACATAATGTAATGAAAGTAATTTCTCGCTAGGATTATTAAAGTACTTCTGAATCTGATTCCTGGTTGATGGGACAGGTGTTGTGAATGAAATGGTGCCCAGCTTGAAAGAGCTCCTGTATGTCGCTGAATGTGTGTATTGATGACTGAAAGACATCTTCTGCCTCCATTTATCTGTGTACTACAGTGTGTTGAATTCATGTTAATGTGTATTTAAAGGCAGTTCAATTAGTGATTGCAGGGGGAATATATAAAAAAAAAAAAGGTCTGATCAACCAAAACTCTTGTGACCCCCATGCAGTACCTCCGTGGACCCCCTAGCGGTCGTGGACCCCCTGTTGAAGACCTCCGCAGCAAGCTATATTAAAGAGGTTATTTCTAAGGATAATCGTTTTATTAATGTATTATATGTCAAATAAATAGATTCCATTTTAAGATTAAGGTAAATAACTAGCCCACTTTTTTACTTCAGAATTGCAGGTTTTAACCATTGGGTTGTTCGTATTATCTGTCTCAACCCCTTTTACTTTGAGTACCCATGAGGCATATTTTTTCCGATATATTTTAGGTATTAATATTTACTACATTTTGAAATGTTACAAACGTACCACAACAAGATAACTGAAGCTGTCTGCAGTGGCGGTTCTAGAAAATTTTGTTGGGGTAGCCATATGGGGACCAATGGCGTAATGATACAACAATATCTGGCTGGGCCCCATATGAAGTACAACACCCCATCTGCCGCTGCCGTAGACAACTGACCCGAAATGTGCCCCATACATACACACTTCATCATTTCATCATTCTTCACCTTCACTAGACCTGGATATACTTTAGTACAGGCATCCCTAAAGTCTGTCCTCGAGAGCCGCTGTCCTGCAGGTTTTAGAGGTTTCCCTTCTTTAGCACAGCTGATTATGATGATTGCAGTTGAGCAAAAGCTTGTTAATCAGCTTTCAATTAAAACCAGCTGTGCTGGAGCAAGGAAACCTCTAAAACCTGCAAGACAGCGGCCCTCGAGGACCGACTTTGGGGATGCCTGCTTTGTATATTCTGCTGTAAAATGAGTCTTATCGGGCTACCTTGAGTTTCAAAGCCCCCCTCCTCACCCACACTCTCACCATTCATCACCTGGTCGCAATTTTTACTCACTGTAGCAGCAACCTCCACCTCTGCCTCTTCGGTTCTTTGAAAGAACGTGTTAATTTTGGGAAGTTTTTTCTGTTCTTCCAGCTGCTCTTCTTTGCTTTCTTTTCTGGAATCTGCTTAAGTACCTCTTTTTGGTATCCATCATTGCTAACACATTGTACGTAATGGTTATGGTTTTTAATCTACGCTCTGGGTTACCCATAATTCCAAGTCGTATTGTAAAAAATAAAATACTCAAATACATTGTTCTTTTAAGATCTTTATTGCGGTTTGAACCATATTATGAGTGTATTTCTTACCAACCATCTAATGAACTATACACAGTTATTAACATAGTAATTAAAAGTACCTCTGTCTGCTTTGCTATTGGTGTCGTGTTTAAACGGCTCACCATCATGTTGAAATGTGCCATGTGTTGGGGTATAAATACGGTCCGGTCAGCCATCCTAGTATCAGGTGGGTTTCAGAGGAATTTTTCGCACCATTACAGCTAAAAGAGACGTCCTAGTCCAAAATTGCGTAGGGGGCCAACCAGGTGTCAGTGACAACTGCAGTCTCTGCTTACCGATAGTCACGCCATTGATGGGGACCAAAGTTCGCTCAACACTGCAATGAACCAACAGGGAAATGGATGAGCACATCTGTATTTTCCAAACAAATCCCTGAAGGCTGACCAGACTTTAATGAGGTCCTAGCTGATGAACATATGGACATGTTTAAACATTGATGCTGTTTAAATTAATATATGGTTCTACATAATGCATATATTAAAAAAGTTGAGCAATTGTTCTGTATCTTTAATTAAATAGAAGACTCATAGATGACTGCAGAGCAACTCTCCCCCATGAAACATAAAGAACCCTAATTCTTACTCCTCTTTAATTGTAGTGTATTGTGAATAATTAATAGCTGTATCTTTGTTGTCAGTTTTTGGTTTACATACTATAAATGTAAAAGTATGATATTTTACATGATGGTATAACTGCTGCCATCCTGTGGTTTAAGAGAGCAGCTTGTTCTAAAATTTAAACTGTTTTCATAATATCACTTGTATTTACAGCTGCAGTAGTTCTTGGTCATATCTTAATTTTTTCATATTAGAGTGTAGTTTTTTTAATGATTTCTTGTCCTTTATTTAACTTAAGCTAATTTTCTTTGTTGGTTTTAAAATTCTTAACTGTTTTATAAGTTGGATTGCTCATTTGACCGGATAAAACAACAACAACAACAAAACGTGTGCTCAATGAACTACAAGATTTTTGTCTTAGATGCCTTTATCAGTGTAGAATGAAATGAATCCCCTTCCAGTTGGCATAACACAAATTTAGAGAGAGATGATATTTATTGAGGCTATAATATTAATTATGAATACAACAAAATATCTCATTGACCAGTAAAGTAAAATACATCTATTCCAAACCGCTTTAAAGATTTTATCCCTGCTTCAGAGACTTATTGATGACAAACACATAAAATACAAAAAAACCATTACTTTATTTCGTTTAGACAAAAATCGCAAATAAAAAGCTTTTGAATTAAATTATTAACTTCATTTTCAGACCTGCTTAAATTTCATTCTTAAAGAAGGACTGTAA